GAAACGTCAGAGGTGGCAATGGAGGTGTTGTGCTTCTGTTTGTCTCACAATCTTGGCTTAGTCTAAAAGAGAGAAACTGGTTATTGCTGTTGCTACCAAGGCACGTGTTTGTTTATGCAGCTAAGGTTTTTAATTTTTCTGCTGTCTAACTGGGGGAAAGACGCAACAAAACGTTTGGGCATCTGGGTATTTCTTTGAAAATAATTTTCCGGATGCGTAACCTCCACTTCACTTTAGAAAACTTTATAATTGTTAAAAACATTCTGCCATTGGTACTGTCTCTGTGTTTTGTATCTTTGTCATTTAATTAAATAACATAAAACCAGTTTGAGAAAAATCTCAAAACAGCTAACACCACTGCCTTTGACAGTTCTAAATAGATACTCCTCTTTTGTTCTCTATTATACACCACTGGATTTCTTAATAGAATTTTATATATATATATATATATATTTTTGCTAGAACAAGGCTTTATATAATAATACTTCTAGTTTTTATAGGGCTTAATAATTTACAACATGTTTTCAATTTATATCATCTCCTAGCTCCTCCACTTATTAGCTGTGTGGCCTTGAGCAGGTTACTTTATCTCTCTGTGACTTAAATTTTCTCTTTTTTTAAAAAAGGCTGCTATGAGGATTGAATTATTAATACATGTAAAACATCTAGAACACAATCCCTGGCACATAGTAAGGGTTCAATAAAGATTAGGCATTATTATTATTATTTTAAAACTCATTTGATCCTCAAAATAACCCTACAAAGTGTATATTATTCATAGATAAGGAAACTAAGGCTTAAAAGTTAAATTATTTATCCAATCATTTGCTTCTTTAATCAAAATAAATTACTAGAAAGTGGTGATTTTTGACTTTGGACTCAAATACAGGTTTTTTTGACTTCAAACCCCATAATTTGGATGAAAGACACAATATGGAAGTTGTTGCTTGTGCTAAAACACAGGGTAGAAGATGAGACTAAGTACAACCCACCGAGATTTTAAATTTTGGTATGCTGACCAAACAAATTAAAAAAAAAAAAAAGAAAAGAGAAAGAAAGAAACAAACCAATTTACTCTAAAATTTTACACAAAAAGATCCTAACAGTATGGGCTGTTTGGGATTAAGTAAATATTCTTCTGAACATTAACTCATGAAAATAGGGTATAAATTTAATCAAAATCATCAAAGACTAACAAAACATAAAAATCTCTTCAATGTAAATTATTTATTTTTAATAACAATAAAATTCTCCATAGGTATTAAACATTTTCAAGGCCTTTATATTTTAATTTGACACAACTCAAAAACATTCACATTATTTTTCTCTATTCTTATCCAAAAGCTATCTATATAAACTTGTTTCTTATTATGCAAACATTTTCAAAGCTATGCATACAAATAGCAATAAAAGTTAAGTGAGGCATCTGTAAATTAGTACATAAAAACAAACACAACATGTTTCCATTTTTACTTATCTTGAAATGTATCT